ATATCTGCCTCCAGACATCACTTCGGGCCACGCCGCTCTAGCGGAAGGAGGTGTGGTCCGACAGTCAAATCGCTTACAAGCTATCCTTCAATCCTTCTGCAGCATAAACTCTTCCTGCATTTCTGGCCTTCCCATGCCATCCCAAGACTTCTCTCTCTCATCTCCTAAGGAACCTGGCCTGGAAGATCGCAACCATTAGGGTTAAACCCTCTGCCTTAACATCACGCGATAGGCCGACTGCATTCTTCGAAAGGACAACAACAGGACAGATCTGTTTTCAGGGGAGGCAATGATGTGACGACTGCCAAGCAGGCATCACTTCAGACGTCGTCCGCTGTCTTGCGGTTGTGCGGTCGTCTGATAGTCAATTTCCCAGTGTCTACTCTCCTATTTCCTCTGTACAGAATATACTCTTCCTGCCACTCTGGCCTCCCATGACTTCGCTCAACTCTTAAGGAACCGGATCTGAAGATCGCAGTTGTCAGGGTTTAACGACGATGAAAATGGAAGAAAGTAGTTAATATTAGGATGGAAGAAAGAATGCAGCTACGACGAAACAAGTGAGGTTACAGAAGTTTGAGGAAATTACCTGCGGCGTGCGATACTGTTCGACAGTCCTAGATCCTCTCTTAGTTCACTGTCCGTAATTGTTAACAGCAGATCACCGTTGACCTCCAAGCTGCGGACCTTAACCACCAGGTTGTCAAAGCCAATCTTTTGGAAGCGGTGGCAGGAACGGAGAAGAAAACCCGATTAACATAAGGGAAGGAGGTTATGGAAGTCAGGGATACGCTAAAAACTGTATCTTTCTCTTTTTTTTTCCAACTTTCCTTACTGCTATCTAAACTCTGAGAAAAGTGATCAAAAAGGATGAAAACTGGTTAGGTTAGGGTGCGATGTGAGCAAAAATTATGAACCAATCTTATAAAATGATCGACCTATGGCGTCAAGAGTTTCACCCCGCAGGCTAGAGAACGTACTCATCTATTTCCGCCTTGGCACACAATCTGAAGCCCCCACGCAGGTGGTTGCCTGGTGACTAGTAGTATCTATCGACAATAATTTGCCGTCAAAGACAAGGGATATTGGAGGGACCATTTATGCCTTAATAGTGGTCGGTGTCATTCAGTCGAACAGTAATCCGGGTCATAGAATACACAGGTAACATTACGAAAAAAACTTTTCGCGCATAACACCATTCTGCGATAGTTCTTGTGCGGCCGCGTGTTGGTTCTTGGATTAGACTGCTATCTGGTCACTTTTGAAAGTCCCACCCTACCTTAACTAAGTTAACCTTGCAAGCGCCAGGTACGGTAGATAATGGGTAAAAAATGGCTTTGGGATTGGGGAAAACTTTAGTGTGTGTTAGAGGTACCAGGAATTTTGTCTGACAGAAATCTGTAAAGAAAACATGCCCAAGTTCACTCAGTGGTCGTTGCCAGCATAATCCTTAATGCGACTTCCTATTTCATCTAATGCTTACATGAAGACTGCGTTGAGAGTATATATGAAGTAAATGGGCAAAGTGTCTTGTAGGACCCCCAAAATATCTATCTCCCCCCGCCCAACTGTCTAACGTATTTTGTGGTCTGACATTTAATTGTTGGTTGGTGAGTGTGGTTGGTTGTGGTGGAAGTGATCACAAAATACTAACTTAAAGAAACGTATATTTGTTTTAATGTACTAAATAGAATTAAATCCATCAATATAAACTCCCATTGCTCAGGATACTGATGCCAATTTAGGAAAATTCAACCTTATGTTGGTGGAATTTCACGAAAGAAAAGGAAAATTGGGTTACTAAAAATGCAAAACTAGGTTATTGTTTTAAGTCAAAGGCAAAAAGAACCTCTAAAGACAGTCCTGCCATTTAATGTTTGCGCATTCGGTCATTTAAAGGAAGAAAATCGTTTG